CTAGGAAGTCAGCGTTGGTTCCCTCAAGTTTCTCAGGTTTCTCAGGTCTATCGTGTTGTTTTTGTGTTTGACAGTTTGACGTCGAGCTTTGTTATGATGCGACCGTGGGAGACTTCTGGATTGAGGATGAAAACGAGATTCGCCTACAGCGTGAACGTGTTGACAAAGCCGTTCTAGATACATACAGGGCCAAGCGAAAAAGCTACCACGTTTACAAGGCAGCAGCAGCCTTGTGGAGTGAGGGTGTTGAGTGGCAAACAGCATTGAGTATTATCCAACAAGCTTTCAATGCGATGACCCATGAAGCTGAGGGCTAACCGTGTCCAACGCAAACAAAGGCCAAAGGTCTTGCTTTTGCGCTGACTGCTTTTGGTTCAGGTCTAGTCTGTTAGACCCTGTTCGGAGTGAGTGTTGCGTTCACCAGCGACGGCTTTGCGAACAAGCTCCGGCTTTCAACCCCTTGACCCACTGGCTGACCACCAAGAAGGGAGACAAAAGGAAACAGAAGGGAGACAAAACAGACTCAGTACACAAGCGTTTGTGTAGAGAGCATCCTTCACAAAAACAACCCTGTCAGACCTAGGGTTGTTTCTGTTGAGGGGCACTGGGGCCCAACACAAAACCATACCTCCCAACCCAAACACCACTGGTTTTGTTAATGGGTTTTGTGTTGACCACCCCTGGCACCAAACACAAAACACACCTCCTGTTAGAAAGCAATGGTTGTGCAGAATGGCAATGTTCAGTTCAATGATTTTATGTTAAAAAATTTGGGTGCGGCAGTACCGTTTAGGGGGTCACCCCCGGTTAAAATTGAAAAGAACTTGCACCCAACAACGTAAGTAGAGAAAAATTTTTTTGTGCAGAATGGGGGTGCCATTCTGCACAAAGAGGTCCGCTGAAGTTCCTGGGCCCGAAAGATGGTTTGTGCAGAATCACAGAATCCAAAAGATGATTTGTGCAGAATCACAGAATCCAAAAGAAGGTTTGTGCAGAATCACAGAACTCAACGCACGTTTTCTGTAGAATGGCGCCGCCGTTCTGCACAAAACATCCTTTGGATTCTGTGATTCTACACAAAACATCCTTTGGATTCTGTGATTCTGCGCAAAACATCCTTTGGATTCTATGATTCTGCACAAATCATCCTTTGGATTCTGTGATTCTGCACAAAACATCCTTTGGATTCTGTGATTCTGCACAAAACATCCTTTGGATTCTGTGATTCTGCACAAAACATCCTTTGGATTGTGTGATTCTGCACAATAACACTTGGGTGGTATGTGGCTCTACCCGAACCACTTCTCAGTTTCTGCACACAGAATAATATTTGTTTGTTGCTATCATTCTGTGTGTTGTTAGTGTGCTTCGGCTCACAAACTAAAACTTTTGTTTGGTTTCGGTTGGTTTTATGTTCCACAGAAAGCACCGGGTTCAGGGACTCTAGTGTGTTGACGGGCATCCGAAGAACTTAGTGGGCCTCAAAGAACCTCAACCATAGAACCCCCATGGAACACAAGTCGCTTCGTTTAGCTTCGCTAAGCACTCACTAGTCCGGCTTCACCTTGCAAAGCAACCGCTGTGTGATGCAGATCTTTGCACCGCACGCCCAAGGCATTTTGCAGGGAGAAAAGAATTGGGCAAGGGCGATGTGTTTAAGTTCAGGCGTTGCCTTGAGATGCCTATGAGACAGTAAAACATCGCGTTTTAAGCTCGTTGGTCTCGCATTAAAGCGCGTTACATCGCCAGGTTCTTGTCCATGGAGGCGAGATCGGTTGCTCACGGACCCTTTACGCTTGCCTTTGGGCCCTAGCAGACAAAAGATGTTTTCAGTGAATTTTTGTGTCAGGAGCGCGGAGTCCTTTTTTGACAGTTGCTGATTGAAGCACGTGTCTCACATTCATCTTCCGGCTGTCAGGGTTTGGACACGGGACCGTTCAGACCGGTGCGGCGCGATGGGGAAGCGGCCCTCAACGGGGTCCGAAGCGTCCGGGAAGTCAAAGGCTAAAAAGACGAAGCCGGAACTTCCAGATGTACCAAAGGAACAACTGAAGGCTCAGCACTTCAAGATATTTGAGCAATGGTTGCACCTAGCCAGCCAAAAAGGTTGACTTATGAATACTGCTGTCACACTGCTTTCATCTTGTTTGCTACGACAGTGATGGTGCAGCAGTTTTTGTTATGATACCAGCTAAAGGCAAGACAAAATCAAGAGCCACGAGAGCATGGACCAGTACTTTGTTGCCAAGTACAGTGCCAAGGACACGTCGACGTCAACTAGTAATACATCCAATCAAGTTCAGTTTGTTGAATTGTTTCTTGCAGGAAGACCTGGTCAATTTCCTGTCATGGATGGACACGCATTTTGCGCCTGAACACGCTGTGCGAGAGCCCCAAGTGTGTTTGCCAGTGTCCTGTCCTTCCTCAGGCCGTTTTCAAGAATGAACCTCTGAGGCCATATGCCACACCGGATGCTTTGAGGCGACCAGGCGGCCTATTCCTGAGGCCGTGGCACATGACGTATGCCACGTCTTGCGGACTCAAGGGATATCTGGAACCAGAATCGTGGTTGAAATCATTATACATTTGTCGATCCAACAATTTGTGCCGTCGCCCGTTGACATTTGTTGACATTGAGGACGTTCTTTTGCACATATGCCAGTTGATCATGTGCCAGGGGTTGCTTGATTTGATTATATGTCATCACGTGCGCATGCAGGAACCACACTGGACCGACCATTAGCCAAGGTTCCTGACAGACGCCAACATGGGCGGTGTTGAAAAGCTTTCCGTTTGCAGTTTGAGGGAGTTGGAGGCCTACGGCTGCAGGCCACCCCAAGTGTTGGATTCAGAGACGCTGGCGCCAGAGTGTAGCGGCTTAGCCCCGCCAATGGGTGTGTTTTTCGTGAAGGGATGGACGCGCGGGTTCAGTGCAATGACCTTGATGCTTTGTTGCTACGGGAATGAAGAGTTCAGAAATTCATGGCCCGCAACTTTTCAGCAGCTACTTGGCTGACTACTTGGGGGAGCTGTTTGATGGAGATCAGTTTGCAAAGAAAATAAAGGGCGCCAAATAGCGTAATAGATTGAACTCGTTCCGCCCAGGTCCCTCAAGACCATCCATGCTGCTGTTGTGATGGGTGAGGGTGATGATCCTTCCATGCTGATCATGAAGAACAGAGGCCCAGATCTTCAGAATTTGTGGCCTGCGTGGAACATACCCCCCTTTTTGGTAGCCAATGAGAAGTGGTTCGCCAGGCATTTCATACCAGAGCGCGACGCGGAGACGGCCCAACTGCTTCACACTGTACTTCCAGCTGAAGCTCATCAAGGCCATGGACAGGGAGGAGGCTTGTTCGTTCGAGGCCGGACCGCAGTTTTTTGATGTGACCAAACGGGAACTTGACGTTTGGCAGTTGCTGTGTATTGTTGGGACCGGGGCTCAATTCATACTTGTGGCAGGCATGGTCCAAGGCGTCAGAGGTGGCGCAGGCCTACAGCATAGGGAAGCTAGAGGCCCAGTCCGCCCTAAACCTCTTCAAGGAGATCGACTCTGAAGTGTCGGACACCCTGGGACGCCTTGTGAAGAGACTTGCCCGCCTACTAGTCTAGATGTGTATCACTGTTAGGAATTGGGCAAGGAATTTCATTCGTGAGGATGCTCATTGTTTGGATGTTGATTTGTTTTCGTGAGGAAGTACACTATGCAAAAATTTATTCTCCATGAAGCAGTAGCTTCCAGTGTCTTCAACCGGAACTTCACCTCCGGGTACGGTGCCTGGATTCCTTGGGAGGCCGAATTGAGGAATTCACCAGACATCCTCAAGACTGTATGTGACCGCCTTGGTGGAGATTTTGAGCAGACACATGCAAAGCTGAGAAAACCATATGGGATGAAAGACACGGAATCTTGGGTTGTTACAAAACACCTTCAATTTGACAAGTTATTGCTCACAATGGAAACGATACCGCAACTCACATAATATTCTTTCTGCAACACACACAGTTTTTGCCCAGGAGACCATTCAGCGGCGATGCGCAGGCTTCCACGCCCTGTTGAACCAGTTTCGATCCAAATACCCTGAGGAGTTTGTGAAGGCTGAGGAGCCAACACTTGTCAAGGGGTTACCTTGCATATTTCAGTGTAGGGCATTTGATTGCAATTCGTTCTAGCGCAGTAGACCTGTGAGTAGGTAAGAACCCGTTCATTCAATGTCAGGTTCCTTTTGAAGCACGCAGATGCGGAGATTGATGTGTTGCTGGAAGAGAGCGTACCACCAGCAGATATCTCGCGAGTAGGCATATTCCGAGCTCCCGTCGCCAAGCATATGAAAAAGGCAAGGTTCGACTTGAGTCTACAGTATGTTTTGTGTGATCGCTGCCTCTTTAGTAGTCTGGCGTGTCAGAGAGCAGGTCGAGGCTGAGCGAAATCAGGCCAACGAGAAGTTCCTTGACATGGCTTTTTCTTGAACTATGCCTAATGCGTGTCGTGCTTGTTCCCGCACCTCAGGATCATCGAGGATCTGTCCCAAGCGACCCTGGCTCAGACTCTCAGAAAGCTCAATGATGACTTGGCTGCAATGGGCAAGTTTATGACGACCGTGACTGAGTGGGCCAACCGCCAGGCACTGATAGTCAGTGTACTACTGTGAGTAACAGCAGATGATAGTTGCTCAGCTTGTAACTTGCGCTTTTAGATGAGTGTCAGGCTGGGCTCGATATGCAATACCTTCAGAAGCGGTTTGAAAAGGGAAAGCTGTGGGTGGAGGACTACATGGCCAGTCACCACAGATGCATGGCTCTGAGTTTGCCAGAAGCGCACGCGGACCTCCTCCAGTTTCAGCGCAGCGAGCAGGGTGGACAGGGGTTACTCCATTGCATTCAGGTCAAAGGACTGTGAAAAGCCTCAGCTGCTTTCCGATTCCATGCTCAAATGTTGCATGAGGTTCACCCTCATGATCATCGACTGCAGCCTTTGGCCATCTTTCCGTTCCTAGATTGCCAGCGTGGTTGAGTCATGTGACAAGTTCAATTGTGGATGGAATCGTTTTTGGTGTAGGATTCAAAATTTAGCTATCATCATATCTACCCAGGCCCACTGATCATCGATGAGGCCGTTCAAGTGGCCAAAACGGTTTGCGCTAGTGACAGCAATGCTGCTTTGCTGGCACTTCACCCGGTTCTGCATGCCTCGACAGAGCAGATGACTGTTTTGAAAAACAAGCGGCACCTAGAAGACAAGGTCCTGGCGAATCTCATCTCAAATTGATAGCTTTTTTGGTGCAAAGATGGATGGTAGATTGGTACTTAGTATCTTCTTACTTTTCAGAGCCTCAGACTCAGAGGCAAATGGACATGTCAGAACTGACGGTGACGTTCACGGACTCCCAACATGCGGGCGACAAACGCCGTCGAGCTCAATCAGGCGCTGTTTGTTGTCAAGGTCTGATCGAGTGTGGCCAAACTCATGACTTTCTGCAATGAGGCACCTTGGCCGTCTCTGCCATTCACAAGCAAACAGGGTTCTCGAAGTCAAAGGCAACATTTGGGACTGTGGGCCCCGTCACCCGCTCGCGTGTCGCTGATTTATGGACGGACGATGTTGATGGCATCAAGCCTTGCAGTCCGCCGGGGCGGGTTCTTCCCTAAGATTTCCCTATTGATTGCAATGCAATGCAAAAACTTTGGTTCAACCTTTACACTGTGACCTTTCTTAGGCCCAACAGCGTGGTGTCGAGGCAACGGCGCAAATCCTACAGGGCGTTGTGGAGGGACTACCGTGGGACAGTAACACCATTATCTATGTAGTAGACCTCATTCCTTCCAAGTTTTTTGGTTGAACCAATTACCAAGTTTGCTTTTGATATGTAAGCATTTTGCAAAAGAATGCATACACACATGATTCCGTCGGTCTGAGGTATGGCGAATGGAGCCGCGCGGTGTGGTCATTGCAGTCCAAGCTCCTCAAATCAGAGTCCGGGCCAGATTTTCGATTTGCGGGGTACTTTCCACCAGATGATGGCCCGGAAGCTGCAGCGAAGTGGCGCTCCCACATCGCAGGGCAAGTGCGCGCAGCTACTTGGGTTTAAGAAAGGGAGGCAAAATTTTGTGGAGATAACTTAACTTAGCAAGGTTGGTTTATTATGCTCTATTTTCTTGGGAGTGGCTACAATGTGCTGCTGCATCAGGACCATTGGGATTCCAGCAAAGAGGCTGGGCCTGCACAGCGTCCTGCAGCAAAGTTTGAGGAAGAGCCGCCGACCATGCAGATTTGTAATGTGACCCCAACAGAGCTGAAGTGCCTCAGCGTTTCATTTGTAATCTGTGCGCCAGCTTTACAGTAACTTAAAGGGCGTTGCTGGGTGATGCTAAGTGTTTGTCAGTGGTGGGCCCAATGTCAAAGGTTATCAGATGCAGCCTTGGACGCTGTGGCGGGCCGAACCGAGAGTTTGACGGAAGCGGTGAAGAAATTCAATGAGGAGTTTAGCATGTCGGTGCTACACAGCGCCAAGCAGGCCACAAAACAGGCTCAAGTCCAGCGGCCCGGAGGGACCCGCACGACGGAGGGAGTGTCACAGCAGCCGCAGCCCAGGCGCACATTGGGGCAGCCGATCTTTACATCACCAAATGTCCCGATCAACGTTTCGAGGATCGGAGTCCCCGCAGAGAACCTGGAACTGGCTGCGTTTCAGGAGAAAGAGCCATTCGATTGACTTTTGTAAAATTTTGTAAACATTTGAAGGCATTTAAAGGCTATATTTGGATATCTCTATTTTTCAGAAGATCAATGATCGGTGTGTTTATGATTGTAGTTGGCCGAGGCTGACAACGCAAACAATCCCACCTGTGTGCGACAAGATCCAGTGCTGTGTGTGCAAGGACTTGTGCGTGTGGCTCGTGAACCCAACGGATCAGAAAGTCACTGTAAACGCTGGGGAGCTGTTTGGGTTCAACCTCGGGAAGTTCAGCGAAAAGACACCAGGTTCGGGTCGGGGGCATGGTAGTTTGCTATGAATTATGATGGGGCAGGGGAATGCTAAAACCATATTTTGCTAGGCAAATACTATGCTCAACTGTGACAGGCGCTTGCCGGAATCCTGCGACTACAAAAGATGGAATCCCCTTTCTTTTCGAGCATGATCACACCTTGATGATCTTAGCGGATGGCTCCAGCAAAACGCCAACTTGCCTGGCGATGATCGCCAACCAGGTGGCCAGCTCGCAGGGGATCACAGAACTTACAATGACCGATCACGACTTGGCACCGCAGACTGAGGCTGAAACTTGGCTATTAATTATTGTAACCTGCAGCACCTGCGCTTAAACTTTAATCTGGAGCCTGGGGTAAATCTCGAACTTGTTGCGCCCAGGACGGCGCGACAATCAAACCGTTTCGCTACAATTGCGCGCCCCGGGCGCGCATCAACTTCTACGAGCCGAAGCCCTTGGATGGTGGTGCTGATTTGATGGCGTGCCGCTAGTCGCAAATGGGAGCAGCCTTCGTCGGATCCCTACACAGACTGTCGGTGGCTCCAACCGCAATTTGCCAAGTGGTCTGGGAGGCTGGCCGTCGAATGCGTTGCGTGATATGTTTGCTTGATAGTTGTTTTTTGTTTACACCAACCTGTGCTGAAAAAAGTCCTTGGACTGTCCCTGTCAGGTACGGTTGACCACAGGGATTCCCGCGGTGGTAGCGCCGCTCAAGCCAAAAATGTGGCTGACGGCGAAGGTTGAGATTGAGCCACAGAAGGCAATCAAACTATAGATATTTTTCCCAGGCAGTCAGTTATTTTGTTGAGCTTGGATGGCCATTCTGGCCGTTGTCTCAAGCTCTGCGACGGGCCTTGAGCTTACCACCGGTTGATGAGCTTCCACCGGCTTGGCAGTGGAAAGTTGGTGAGTGTAGTGCAATGATGTTTGTGGCAGTCATTCAACTGAAGGTTTCAAATCTCAGGTTGCTTGTCGTCCTTATACTTGTGTGATTGCTGAAATTTGCAGCTCCATGATTCCATTTTTTGGGCATCCCGGATCGTGGCGGGACCGTGCGCCCCCGCCAATCGTCATGCCGGCAGATGCAGTCACTGAGTTATCGGATGACGGTGCTGAAGCACTCAACACAGTACCGCCGGCAAAAGCCAAACCAAAAACGGCAGCTTCCGCAAAACCAAAACCGACAGCGAAACCCAAAGCGAAGCAGCAGCCCAAGGCGAAGCAGCAGCCCAAGTCGAAGCAGCAACCCAAAGCAAAGTTAGACCTTCCCCGTAAAAGGCCTGCCGCAAACTCTGACACCCCGAAGGACGACGAACAACAGGAAACGGTTTCTCCCAAAGTTGAATCTGAACTTGACAACCCAGAAACCGGCGCAGGGCGCCCAAAGAAGAAACCCGCGTCAGCGTTGTGCTACAGGGCCTACAAATACTGTTACCACAAAAAGAACATGTGGGGCGTGAAAGTCAACGGCACCGAAGTCGTTACGGCCGGGCTGTGTTTAGTTTGCTGAGTGTATTTTTTCAGAATGTTTGTGGCAGTTTTGAGCATTTGAACCTAAGAATCTATTACTAGATTTCTTTTGGTTGGAGGTGAAGTCCCATCCAACCATCAGTGATGAGAAATTGGAAGAGATTGCTGATTTGAGCTTAATTTTTGTCATGTGAGCTCATTGATGTCAGCAATTTCCTAAAGTTCATTCGATTTGACGACATTTCAGGAAGCAGCTCGCTCCGAGTGCGAGAAAGGACCCATCGACAAACAAAAGCTCAAGGACATGGTGGTACGACCCTCAAACCAACACCGTGTGTTTTTTCATGTTTCGCCGCTACAAGATTGAACTGACCAATCGTCTGAGGGTGCGATGCGTCAAGCAGTGATCACGAAGGCTGAGCGAGATGCGGCTGCTGAGGCAGCGTCTGTCCCAGTGGAAGCTGAGGATGAAACAAATGAAGCCGGCGAAGCCGGCGAGGGCGAGGGAGGTGAGGAGGAAGAGCCCGAAGACGACAAGAACGTGGACTAGACTTAGATGTCTGCCTGACTGGCGACCAGACCAGCTTGGAGTGAGACGGGCCTGGAAAAAATGTTCGACTTGGAAATCAGGGCGGGTAGACCGGGTTGAAACGACACATATTTGTGTTCAATCAGACCAGTGTGCCAAAGGTTTTAAAAATCAAACCAGCGTGCCTAAGAATTTTTTGACCTTTAAAATTTCCCCTGGCTCAAGTTTCTTCCGCCCGGTGAATGAATCAGCACCTGGAGTCAATGAACTATGACCAAGAATGGTATTTTGTAAAATGCCACGAAGTTTGCACTTGAAGCACTATCTCCCTGCTTGCCACCAAATTTGAACGCAAGGCTGCGCCCAACATGCTTCCCAGTCACCGCCTGCTACGAAATCTGAAGCATCCTGTCTGTCGACCGCCTGCTACAAAAT